TTCTTCTTCCGTATCGGGGGACCTGTGAGCACCGCAGCATGTTTCAATGGGGCCGGGGGCGGCGGAGCGCGCGGCGCCCCACCGAACCCAAACGGCCTTCGCCCGACACCAATACCACCCCCAAACCGCGCGCGTGCCTCCGCAATGGAGGGTAGATCGACGCGTGAGCCAAACGTCGGCGTTCCGCAGCGGCTGCTCGCGCGTTCGACCATCTCCATCTGGTTAGCCTCTACGCCACTCACTCCAACTCCAGCGTTGACCGCTCCGCCGACGCCTACATCGAAGAACGCAGAGCCGCTGCCGGCGCGCGCACGGCGTTGGGGCGGGACGGGTACTGCAACCGGTACCGCTACGATGTGTCCAAAGAGCGATCCGGGTGCCTTGGTGACGCGTACGACCTTCCACCCCGCCGACAACGCGAGCGCGACGATCTCGCGCAGCGTCCGCTCCTGCCCGTTGAACGTCACTTGCATCTGCACCAACAGTCAGCGTCCGCCTTCTGGTACTTGTCGCAGGGCGAGGGGAACGCACCGTAAGGTCCATCCAATACGCATTCGCGCTCGCCTTGCCGAGATTCGCTAGCAGCGGCGCGGGCGCCAACATCTTCTCCGCGCCCTCCACCTGCGGCTCCCTGTCCTTCGCGCTATCCCCGTTCCTATCCCCGTTCCTCTGCTTCTCTCCACCTGCAGTTGGATCCCCCGCACCTGACCCCGCCACGTCCTCCCCAACGCCGAAATCATCCACGCACGCCAGCGGGAGCACAAAGTCCGCGAGGACGAGTTTCGTGTGCGGCGCGGCGGCCTCGCGCAGGCGCAGGAGGATGCGCTGCGCAAACGCGTCGGGCCAGTCGTGCAGCACGACGCGGAGGATGAAGACCGCGACGTCGGTGACGGGCTGTGGGGTGAAGAAGTCGTGTACTGCGGGAAGGGAGAGATTAGCGTGTGGGGACATAGTAGGCAAAGGAAACGAGAGGAAGCAGCGCAGGAATACCCACCTTGAAACCGCACCACGCCCGAGTCCAGCAGCTCCGGACACTTGGCGCGCCAGGCCTGCGAGTCACCATATCAGCTCATTGTGTTCTATTCTTCGCCGAACCGCAGAGGCAGAGAAGAACACACCTTCTCCCCCATCTCAACTACCACCGGCCGGTCCTGGATCACGAATCGGAGCCCGCCACTACCTGTATCGTATCCACGTTAGCCAGATTTCAATAATGACAACAAGAAGGAAACAAATAGGTAAAGGGAAGGAAGAGGAGAGAGAAAGGATACAAGGGAGAGGAAACGCACCATCCGCAATATCCACCTCCGCATACGCGCTCGCCAACAACATACTCGTCGAGCCAATCCCACCACCCACATCCACGACGACGCTCCCGCGCGGGAGCGCCCCCCAGTCGAACCCGTGCAGCACCGCGCCCGGCGCCTCCCAGCTCCCCGTCCCCGCCATCGCCTTCCCGAAGCGCTCGAGGCGGAAGCGGTTTGGGTTCAAGCTTGGCTGCGTCTTTGCGCCTACACCCGCGCCCGCGCCCGCGCTACCGAGCTTGTTCTTGCCTCCAACAGCAGCAGGAATCCCGCCAACAGCACCACCGCCGACCTCCCCCACCTCCGCCCCGCCCCACCCCTCGCCCTCCAGCCACGCAAAGTATCCGACGCCGCCGCACCCGAACGCATAGTTGAACGGCGCGCGCGTGGGGTCCGCGCCACTGCTGCTGCTTGTACCCGTGCTGCTTGTCAATGGATTACTGCCCGTACTCAGTCTCTTGCTAAGCGGGCTTGCGTTGGTGTTGGAGTCGGCATCGTACGGGGAGGTGAAGGACGGGGAGGACGGAGAAGAGGGCGAGGGCAGCGACGACCCTGATGCTGATGAGGCGAAGGAGGATGCGGAGGCCGATACCAAAAGTGATAGTGGGGATAAGGAAGCGGAGGACGAGGAGGGATAGAGCCGCGCATTGCCGGGAAAGACCGCCTCGGTGAGGTACGCGCTGGATTTGAAGAGCTCGTCCGTGCTACGAAAGAGAAAGGGTGAGTGGATGAAAAAAAAGAAAGGTGAGAGGATGAAAGAAAGCAATGTAGCCAAAGCGCCAATGAGAAAAAAAGTGAATGTGTGCGATCCGGGAGATGTCCACCCGCAGGAGAGGCAGCGCCGCGATGTGAAGCAATGGAAAACGAAACAGGCAGCCCGACACAAACTCCGAAGGACAAGAACGAAACGTCGACTATGTCAAGGGATTCCGAATCAAATAAAGAGCAAGTCCGAGAGAAGACACGGCCCCGCATAGCAAAGAGAAGGAAGACACGGCTCTGCCTCCGCCTCCGCACATACGCCGCCCCGTTGCAATACTCCCACAGCACCACGAAGCACGAAAAGTGGATATCCACCACCACGCACAAGAGCGGCTCAAGGAAAACCGAAACAAAACAAGAAAACAACGCTCCAAGGGCGAAGTCGAGAATACGCGAGAAAGGCAGGAAGACAACGCGAACGGCAAACAAAATGGGTGGATGATCTCGATCTCCGTGTGGGACAAGAACAAAGAAGGGAGTGAGCGCGCTTCCGAGAAAAGACGCGGCACGCGGCCCCGTCCGCATACCCAAGAAAATAAAATGAAAAACAGCGGCAAGAATCGAGGTGGGATCAAAGACGGGAGTAAAAAGCCCAAAGTCCGTCGAGTCGTCCGAATGAGACAAGGACAAGGCCCCGTCCTGAATTCGCGGACGACGCGCTCCAAGGGAAAAAGACGCGCCTCCGAGCCGCGGTCGCGTCGGAATACCCCTCTCAAGGAAAGAAAAATCACGCAGGGCCCAAAAGATCTGCGGACAAAGCAAGAGATAGATACGTACCACAGCCCGACAAACGCAGCGACCGCGCTCGCATCCTCGTCGCCGACGGATTCGTATTTGTGTTCTGGCCTGCGACAGTCAGATTGATTAGCCAAAATGAACAGAAAGATAAAATCGAAAAAGATGGAAAAGAAACAAAGGAAAAAACGAGCTGGGGGCGGGTTCCAGAATCCAAGAACGCGATGACGATCACGAGAGCGGATGGTTGCTCCCACCGAAAAGCCCGACAGAAAGGAGACTTTCCGCATCGGGCCTATCTATACGCCAAGCGATGCGCGCGGAGCCGAGAAACGCAATGCCAAGTGCAGACGTAGATATGTAAGACTGTAAGAAAAGAAATGAAGCCGCCCGACAAGACAGGAAGCGGGAAAGGAAGGATGCGCGTAATAGAAGGGTGTCAAGGAAGAGCGACGCGTGCCACAGGAAAAATGACGCGTGACGCGCCGCGGGTGCGAAAGAGCGGCGAGGAAAATTGAAGGGAGGGAGGGAGGACGGACGGGCAGAGGGGAAGAGGGGCAGAGGGGAGGGGGGAGAGAAGAGGAACACAAAGAGTAGAAAACGAAAGAAAACGAACAAAGGAAAAGAAAGAGAGACGAGGCAGAAGAAGGCAAAACGCACCTCGCGACGAGGTCGCGCAGGGGCTTGCCCGAGTCGATGAGGGAGCTGATGCGGTTGGCGGCGAAGACGTCCGGGGCGGCTTCGCGCAGGATGTGGTGCGTCGCGAGCAGGCGGAGGATGTGTGCTACCGTTACATCTTGTTAGCAAAGCCTTCACTGCGAAAGGGAACAAGAGAAAAACCCACCAAGCTTCGCCTGCTCGATACCCGTCCGCACCGCGATCTCCCGCACATGCACCGGCCCATCGCGCAGTATCTCGATGACGTGCGCGGCCTCGAGGACGCGGAGGCAACTCGGGAGGTGGTACCCCATGCTCGCGTCGCAGAGGGTGAGGAAGGGCGTCTGCACCGTCGCGGCCATCTGCCCTGCCGCGGCGACGATGCGGTTTATCGCTGCCACCACGGTCGGGTGCGCGGTGAGCTGCTCGTTCGGCGCGGTGGGGTCGTATGGCGCATCCAGAGAGGGGAAGTCCAAGCTAGAACTAGCGGTGCTAGAGGTACTAGGAGCAGCAGCAGAGACAGACGACGGCGAGGGCGGTGGAGATGCATAGACCCGAGAGAAGGAATTAGCCTTTTTATGCGTTGGAAGAGGGTCCTGAGGCTGGGGAGCAGCAGCAGCGTAGACAGCCTCGATATCGGTGAGAGCATCGCCGAGGATGGTGTGCAGCGCGCGGAGGACGGCAAAGGTCATGGCAGGAGGCAAGAGACCCAGCAGCAAAAGGAAATGGAAATGCTAAATAATTGCCTGTCAGACGAATTGATCGACAGGACGCGTCTTCTTGACGCGTTCATTGCGCGCAATCCAATGCCACCTTCCACCCTCTTGCACCGATATTCCCTCGGCCACGAATACCCACCGTAGAGTCATTTTGGCGAGGAGAAGAGGAGGAGCATATTTGCGGGTGTTGAACAGAAGCTTTACTGACACCGCCGCCGCCACTCTCTTCACTTTTACTCTACCTCACGAGAAAAATCGGAGCTCCTCGAGGCCCGATTGCGACGCTGGCGGTGCATTCGAGGCTCAAATTTTACCTACAATGGAGCGATTGGTCTGCCTGAAAGATGCTTTTTTCCCGATTTTGCGGTATTTTCAACTCGGGACCAACTCACGACTCTGTCAAATTTTCTGGATAGAACAGAGAGGCGCGGCACGACTCCGGAAGGCACCGGAAATTATCTCACCGGAACCCTGCGAAAGAAAGATAAAAAGCTAATGTTATCGATCAGATGGCTTGTGCGCGGATCGAACACGCTGCGGACATTTCTGCGGTACCGTGCACCACGAAGCTCTTCCATACCTGTATTTCAAGGTAAATATATCGGCCTGTCCGGGCTGCCCAGCACGCAAAAACAAAATTTCAAAATAGTGCAAAAATATGGCTCGAACCTGAATCAACGAGGGTTCATCAGGTTAACTAGGTTCCTCCAACGGTCAACGGGAACAGACATTGACTATAAACTATTGAGCCTTTCCTACTGGGAAATCCATTCCTGGTTTACTGATCAGAATGTAAAAAATGAAAGACGTTTCCCTCCATCGATGGCTCGGGCCTGATTCGAACAGGCTTCTTCTGCTTAAACCATCATCTGCACATACAGCTGAAATGAATGTGGACCATCCACCACCAAGCCCTTCATACCTTGAATTCAAGAAGAATATAGCCGCAGTTTATCATGTCCACAGAGAGGCAAAAACATGGCTTGGGCCTGACTATACTTCTACCTGAAATATATATGTAGGCTGCTCGTCACCGCAAAAACAGATCCACCAAGCCGTTCACACCTCAATTTCAACCTGAATATTCATGCCTTAATGATGTGCCGCCCAGTACAACCCCTAAAAAGGGGACCACATGAAAATATGACTTAGGCCTGAATTGAACAGACTCTTTCTGCTTAAACCTTGACACTCGCTTGCGAAGCAGAAACAGATGTGGACCACCCACCACCAAGCCTTTCCTGCCCCAACTTCATCCTTCATGAATAAGTATACCCCCCACTTTTCCCACTTCATTGCTAAAAAAGTTGTCAATTTCCCTCCATAGCTCAGACCTGATTCAAACAGGCTTCTTCCGCTTGAATCATCACCCTCATGGCCAGTCGAAAAACAGATGTGGACCACCCACCACTGAGCCTTTCATACCTTGAATTCAAGCACAATATCATCTGCAGCAAGGTCTACAGTTTATCATGTTCCCAGAGAGGGAGCAAGAACCTTGTTTTTCACAGATACATGGCTCGGGCCGGAAGTAATTGCAAATACTTCTGCATGAGTATGTCGGCTGCTCATCACCGCAGAAACAGATCCACTGAGCCATTCATACCTCAATTTCAACCTGAATATTCATGCCTTAATAATGTGCTGCCCAATACACAATACCAAAAAAACTCATTATATCCTCAAATACTATGAGCATCCGAAAATTCCCAACGGCGCCAGCGACCAATTTGAAATTCCAACAGGTCACCAGGAGAAGAGGAGAAGTCAGAGTTGCTAATTCACTGTCAATTCAGAAAGTGATTCCGATTGGATTCTGCTTGGTGAATTGAACAAGAATCACACAGTAACCGTGACTGATCTGATTCTGAACTTGATTCTGGACCACCAAATTGGCCCAGAATTGAGTCAAAAAGTTGATTGTAAGTTGATCGCCCGAGAGCAACTGGCAGTTGGGATTGATGGCGAATGTAGCATGATCGGTAGCATTGATGGTAGCATTTTGCCAAACAAACACGCCAAGGCCATCAACGGGATCATCGGCACAGTTTTCACGGCTTCAATGTCCTCCCTCTGCCCACCGACGGCTACGACCCCGACAATGTGCGCATTCTGCCCCTCACCGCCGCCTCCGTGGCCCGTCGCTCACGCAGATATTACGTTCACGCGCCTCCTCTCTGTTCTCGAGGATGACATAATTCCTGTCAGCCGCACAATATCCCGACAGACACGCCTCCAGTTGCTGCCCGCAATATGGGCAGATATCGGGTCTAGACGTGGTCATTAATGGAAGTGGGAAGGGGGAGACACAGCAGGAGGTGGTGGAAGAGGAGCGCGTTGCGTGGCTGTGACGCGTTGACAACTCCGCCAAAGTGTGCCGGATGTCAAGCCGAAGAGTGCCGGATGCCGATGTCATTGATCGTAGCATTGATCGTAGCAAAAACTATAGCATTCCCAACTCCCAGTTTTTGTGGATCGCCCTAGAATTGAATCTTGAATCGGACTCTGAATTGACTCGGAATCGAGCACTCTGACTTCCCTTAATGAGCTGCAAACATCACTTTTAGCTGCTGAAGATGCCAAGCATGTGGAATATCTATCACAGTACTTAGTATTGTTCAGAAGCGCTAAATCCCAGGTCATCTTTTATGCTGGATTATCAACATTTAATCCATTTACTTATTTGCCTGCAGTCTACGGATCATATGCCGGTGTCGGGACTCGGCATTACGACATCATGAGGTTACGCCGTGTGACAGCGTCCACTGGCAGGCCTCCTCCCACATCTACCCACATCTACAGGGATGCATTCCACTCTTGAAGTTCTGGAGATCGTGGATATGGTGGTCACAGAATTCCAACCAGAAACTGAAACATTTCTAAGCCAAGACAGCAAGGTTTTGGCCCTCCTTGCGCACACATGTACGACCTTTCATGATATTGCGCTTGACGCATTGTGGAGACACCAAAATACCATCTTGAATCTTGTTCGTTGTATGCTGCAGGATTTGTGGGAAACAGTGGAAATAAATTGAAGACCAACTATGGTAAGCCTCGAGAGTTTGCTAATTGATCCCTTCTTCAATCCCCAGTGCCTTCGCCGAGCTCCGACCTCCTCGGATTGGGACCAGGTGTTGAAATATGCGTATCGCGTCAAGTCTCTGCTGTGCCGAGACTTTCAACCATATAATATGGAACCTGATCTGATATGGGTGTATGAAATCCTTTGTTTAGGTATCTCAGGGGGCCTTCTCCTCCCAAAATTACAGCATCTTTCATGGTACCACCATCACTCCCCCCATTTCTCATTCATCGACCTATTTCTGGGCACATGGCCTGTATTTATTATCCTGCCACTTTCCTTCGAGCGTACTTTTGGATCAACTAATGTGTTTCTAATCTATTTTTTGGCTAGCAGGGTTTTCTCGTGGGCTTCCTCAAGTGAAGGCAACCATGAATGGATTGTGCACCAAAGAACACAACATACCTTTCATTCCATGTGTATTCGGTGTGCTTCTCCTGGGCGAGCTCCAAGACATCACAACATTGTTGCTGGAAGAAGTCAAATACTGACTTTGATATTATTCAGATGCAAGCATCCTTTCTGGGCCTCGTTGTAAGTCGCTCTCCAGTACACCAGGTCAACAACACCATTAAACTCATCTTCAACGCCGATGGGAACTTGAAGCGCTGCTGCTGGCATTCTTGAACCAACTATGTGCCATGAGTTAAAAGTTAGGGGAATGTGCATCTATTTTATTCACAAACGAATACTAGGAACACCATAACACCACATTTGCCGGTCCAGAGTTGTCGTGTGACTCTGGACTAATAACAAATGTGTGCAAATATGGCTTCCAAACCAACAACGTACTTACACACTGGTGAGAATTGTGCCATTGAGCACCCGCAGACCCTGCTCTATGTCTATCAGCGAAATCAACGTGTCCCGGCATGTCTGTAATATTGACTCCATATTTTGTTTCAAGCCATCCACAAGGGCTAGATTGATGCCGTCTATTTAGCGCTGACATAGTCACGGCCGCAGACCTATTGCAGGATTAGTAGAAGTCAACCTCTTGTCTGGGATGGTTGAACGGGAACCTCGCATCGCACACCTCATTGATATCATGAATACGGGCAGTGTAGTATAATATGCACTCTGCGAGGGTGATTTTGGAATCTATGTGTGCAGAGACACTAATCTTGTGCTGGATGTTCTTTTGGGTTACTTTATGTTGCGGCAGAGGGGTGCAGGCTTCCTCTGCACCCACAGCAGCCCATCTTTATCTGTGGGTGTCAACTGCTGGCCCTCTCCTCTTGCCTCATCCTTGTGCCCATCAACCTGAGCAGGAGTAACTAAAAGAGTCAAGTTATTCAAGAGTGAAAGAGGTTTCGGACCGGATAGAGTGGCTGTGCAAAGTCGGCCAGTTGGGCCGAAGTCAAGCCGAAGTTGCTTTCTGGCACCTATTCACACATTCAACACTCAATTCCTTTGAGATTTAGCATACTATACCTCCTAGGATGTATGTATGCAGTATAAAAGGATTCTGAGATTTGACCCAAATTTTTTTCCAACCTCCCAAAAAAATTTCCCAAAATAATTAATGCAACGTTTGGCATGTCATAGGGACGAGCCTAATAACATACTTATATATTTCTGCCAAAGTTGTGTGAGAATAATAAATCAGACCCTCATATGGAACAAGGTAAACATCAATATTGCATAAAATTATGTCTGTCTAGGAGGCTACCCAGACCTATGTTGGAATTTCGAGTCACATGTGCGCACACTGCCTCCCATGTGGCGCACTTTGTTACCAGGTCCCCGCCGTTCATTCCTTTTTTCTTGTTACTATTCCTGTGCCTGTTCCTGTGCCCATTCCTGTACTAACTTGGTACCTTAATTACTCTAGGATAGTATTTATGTCCTGTAGACAACCAACAATTCCCCGCGCAACGGGTTCACTGCTAATACTGGATTGCTCTATTGATTCCAACAACCTAGACCCACCTACACACACCTTGACTGACCTACACAGAGCTAGACAGAGCTAGACAGAGATTGCGTAGTTCACTACACAGAGGGGGTCTGTGTAGCTCTGGCTAGGGACCTTGACTGAGGCTAAGTATAGGAGGGCCTTGAATGCAGTGTATCATGCCCTGTCTTTGGGATTTCTCGAACCAGGTTGAATTGAGACCAGAACAGTGGAAAAGGAAAATATTTCAAACTCTACGCCCAGGGCTTTCCCACAGCCCGACTTGTACCAGTTTGCCTACGGCAAAGTGCTCGCCACATTTTGCCATTTGTAGGCAGACTGGTGACGAGTCTAGCTGGGAGTAAGGCTGCGATGCTTCACAACAGTAAAAAGTGAATTCGGACATGTTGAATGAGGGAGTGCAGAACGATAAATTTAAACCTAATAACTTGAGTATCCCAAACATTACAGAGCTTCATGACGCCCTGTTACCCTTCCTGCACAACCTACACGCCGTCGGTCTCCCCTGACACACTGTGACTTCGTGCGGGCGCCAATTCCACTGATTCAGCCGAGACGGCAGAGAATACGAGCAGCTTGAAACATTTGTCCGAGGGCGCGGACTGTAGGGACATCAATCAAAGAGGGTCATATGTGAAATCCGGGATGGGATACGTACTGCTGTGTTCGAGTCTGCGCCAGTTCCCGTTCCCGTCCCCGTGCCACATGTGTTGGCAAACATCATGGTTTCCGGTCTATTTTCGACGGTCGCCAAGGTGCTCCGTACGTTCAATCTAAAAGAAACACTGTTAATCACCCCCAAAGAAGAGTTCGAAAGGAGAGGAGAGCGACATACGTTGCTAACACTGAGTTAACATATAACTTGCCGACAGCTTGGTGGAAGGGCATCCAATACGTCGCGTGTGGAAGCGAGAGATTCAGTGTCAGGAACAGGAATTGGGTGACTCTACAGAACCCGCGGATGAGCGAGATCCAAGGGAATGGGAGGGATGTTCGTTTACGCCATAAGGACACCTGAAATCCGAAATATGAGAGCAAGAACAACAAAGGCGGGGCACACGCACCCCAGCTGACGGCGTAGAGGATGAGGGTATCAACAATCTTCTCTGTGCTATCGAGTACATTAGCGAGGTGAGAAAGCGGGGAGGCGGTTCAGGAAGGAAACGTACCCAAAAGTTTGGCCTACCTCCCACCTGCCTGCACCCTTCTTTTTCCGGTAGAGCCAAATGCAAAGGCACACTGTGATCAGCACATCATTGAACACCGCTAATCCTTGCACTAATCCAAAGAGTATCTGGAATGAGCGCGCAGAGATAGCTGTCGCAAGTGGGTTTTGGAAGCTGCCGGATTTAAAATAAGGCGATGAGACGGTGCTGGGACGAATAATCCGAGACTACGCACAGGTGGACGGTGGTCACTGTCCGGGATGGACACCTGATCAGAAAAAGATCGAAGACAGTGGCGAAAATACCCACCGATACCGAGTGCTGAGATCGAAGTCAGCTACTGTAGCGCAAGAAGGCCAGAATGAACGCACCAAATGTGACGACAGCGAGAATGCCCTTGTTATTGTTCTCAGCAAGAAGCGATGAAAAATGCGGTTAACATACCACAGACCTGAATAGTATCTTGTTACCGCTGACTGAAAACTGTTGAGAAATTGGGCTAGAATAAATAAGAGGTGAACATACTCTTCCATATTGTTCGTGTGTAATAGCTATATTAGGGCTGGCCACCGTAACCGTGTGGCACGGAATGCGGGCACCGTAATACGGTCATGGTGCCGTGTCGTGTGCGACTTTGAGACCCCACATCTGGACCGTATTTCGACGGTGGAATACGGTGTGTTTATATCCAGCTAAATAAAGAGCTCAGTGGTTTTTTACGAACCGTATTCATAATTGCGCAACTAAAGAAGTCCAGTCCGTGTAGATTTTGTCTGCCAAACCAAGATTTACTCCCTGTTTACGGTCAAAACGGATGGTCCGGACGGTCACGGTCTGATTTTTGGCCGTACCGTCAACGACAAAATCCACACGGTTACGGTCCGTAAATTTACGGCCGTGACCGTATACGGCACAGTGCCCAGCCCTAAGCTATATGTAAGTGAGTAGAGTAGGCAAAAGCAATTGCGGGTGCACATACATTTGCGCAACAAAAGTGATCAGAGTCTGAATTATACATAGATGAGGAGTGAATGGTATGGATTAGAGTTTGACGGACGTACGACAAGGAATTTCTCCGACTACGGACACCGATGGTAAGTAACGAGGAGAGAACAAGACACAATCAATGGGCACCGTGAAGCTCCTGTAGCCAAATTAATTCAAGATTCAAGACGCGGAGAAACAACGCACCAAGGAATGATGAGATCGACCGTAGGGCTTTTCCCGAAATTGAGGACCTGTTCAACCACAATCATCAACGCTGATCACTGGGAGGCAAAAACATACGAAGTAGGTGTAAAGACTGTGTGCGATGAAAATTGTGGAAAGAGTGTCCAAGACCCATAGCAAAGCGACCTTACTGTACGTCAGAAGCAGGAGCAGAGAACATATAATAAGAGACACGCACAGTGATTTTGAGACCCCAATGATCAGAAGGATAGTTGCGGTAGTATAGATAGGCCTGCAAAACAGTAATCCTGTAGAGTCTATCGAAGAACATTAGATCTGAAGGTCCCAAATTACGGTGGGGCGATCCTGCCAGGAATCCCGTTGAACGGACGAGGCCCGTCCACCGAAATTACATCGCCGATGAATGACCATTCCTAATTCCCCCCAAAAGATCACCCATGGAAATGAACTCACGTAGTGGCGATTGCAAAGCCTGAGGAGACATTTGAGCATGGGGGAAGCTGGATAAGGAAGGTTTACCAATAAACGACGTAGCGAATAGTTGCTTGACGAGGGCTATGAGGGCTGCTATCTGCGCTGCGGAGGGAGCAGAAGCCATTTTGACGATTGTGGAGGGAAAATTGCTAGGGAGGCTCGTAGCCAAGTTGCTAATTAACAGCGAACGCTGGGAAAAGCGCTCAAAGATCAGCGCCACTCATATACAGTGCTCCATTTGTTCAGGGTTCACCCCGAAATTGCAGAAGTCAACCGTTTAGCCTGGGTTCAACCTCTGATAAGGTCATATCATTGGAGTGCTTGGTAAGTATCGCCAGCTCTGCATTCTTCTGTGAGCAGAGCGGGCGCCGCGAGACTGCTGAGATCAAACAAGAGCCAGATGCCGATCAAAATCAATGCCATGCAGCCGACAAACTCCACGAGGGCTAGGAGGAGGAGGAGGAGGAGGAGGATTGATTTATACTGGCGCGCTCCCAAAATTGGAACAACCAGTTTACTAAGGACAAAAATGTAGCTAAAATATGGGTGGTTAACCATACTCAGCTCCAATATTCCCTTAGAGCACAACACACTACCCGGGGGGTGGAGAGTACTCAATCCTGGCCACAACTCCCTGTCCGACACGGACGAACATCGGACTGGCACACACGGCTCAAAAACCTTTTAGGAAAAAATCCCCGTGTAGCCAAGAGTGAGCCATTGCTGAGGACCCTGCAGTCCCGTTGGGCACGCATGCAGAACCTAGAAAAAGAAAGAATACAGAAAATATAAAAGACCATAATAAATCTCCGCTTGCTAAGACGGCGGGGGGACCAACGCAGCTTGGGAAATAGTGATGTAGAAGTCTCGTCCGATTCTAAGCATTGGGGTGGCATAGAAAATTTCGAGGACATCAGCTAGTGTCGGCAGAACCTCATTTGGGTGGGCCACGTGTGATCTCACAACGTACAATCCCCGATCAGAGCGCTCAGCCCCTGGCGACTGATGACGACTGAAGTATGACAAGACGACGACGACCGGAGGTCCTGTAACGACTGGATCTCCAGTGACGATGGAGGCTGTGGTTTGTTTAAATTTCCACATGTCTTTTGCACTAGGCACTTTCAATTGTATCTTTAGATCCTATCGCTGTTTCCCACGGAAATTTAGTTTCCACAGAGTCACAGACAGTCAAAAACATCGCTTTTCACAGCTACATGGCTCAGGCCTGATTTGAACAGGCTTGTTCTGCTTACTGTAAGTCAAAGTCGTTAAACTGAAACAGATGTGGACCATCCACCACCGAGCCTTCCATACCCAATTTTAACTTGGTATTCCTATATGCCTCAATAATGTGCGGCCCAGTACACAACACCAAAAAACAATTATTTTTAACCAACATCATATGGCTCCAGCCTGAATTAAACAGGCTCCTTCTGCTGCAACCTTGCTGCAATTTGTAGCAGAAAGAGATGTGGACAATCCACCACTAAGCCTCTTCAGCTTCAACTTCATCCATCATGAATAGGTTACCTCCCACACCATCAGAAAAATTGTCTATCTTCCGCCATGGCTCAGACCTGAATCAAAGATGTTCCTCCAGCTTAAATGTTGGATGGAGAGTCAGCAGAGACAGGGAGATGTAGACCACCCACCACTGAGCCTTTCTAGCCTTGGTACCCACTCTGAATATACCTTCTTCTAATGAATGCAAAACTAAGCCTTTCCTACCCAGTAAATTCAGCCTTCATACTCATCTCTTGCAGACAGACTCTTTATATGAATGTGTGCACTTCTCTATATAAACCTTCATACACTCTACTTCTGGTTCTGCTGATCAGAATGCAAAAATCAAAACTATTTCTTCTCAGATATGGCTTAGGCCTGTTTTGAACAGATGTCTCCTGCTTAAACCATCTCTCAGCATGCATTGTAGCAGAAACAAATGTGGACCACCCACCACCAAGCCTTTCATATCTGGAATTCAAACAGAATATAACCTGCAGTTTATCATGTCCCCAGACAGGCAGCAAAAACCTTGTTTTTCACAGATACATGGCTCAGGGGCTCAGGCCTGAATCAAATAAATGAGCTCCCTCTCCATGAATATGAAGGTTGCTCATCACAACAAAAACAGATGCAGACCACCCACGGAGCTCATACCACAGTTTCAACCTAGATATACCTGTACACCTTAATACTGTGCTGCCTAGTACACAACACCAAAAGAACATATAATTCAATTGAATAACTCAGGCCTGATTCGAACAGGCTTCTTCTGGTTAAACTGTCTTTGCACATCTCCAGCTGAAACAGATGTGGACTACCCACCACCAAGCCTTTCATATCTTGAATTCAAGCAGAATATAGCCTGCAGTTCATCATGTAAATGGCACAGATGGGCAAAAACCTTGTTGTTTGGCCCTGGATCAAATAAACGAGCCTTCTGCATTAACATGTTGGCTGATAGTCACAGCAGAAACAGATCCACCAAACCTTTCATACCACAATCAATTTCAACCTGGACTATCCCCATATTCCTCTAATAATGTTCTGCCCAGTACACAACATCAAAAAATTAGAATATACCCACTGTATGGCTCAGGCCTGATTCGAACAGGCTCCTTCTGCCTAAACTTTGATGCTGGCAATTATTCAGCAGAAACAGATGTGGACCATCAACCAGTAAGCCTTTCCTGCTTCAACTTCATCATCATGAATAGGGATACATCCCACTCTCCTCAGTTCACTGCTGAAAAAATTGTCTACTATCATTGCCCTCCATGGCTCAGACCTGATTCAAACAGGGTTCTTGTTATATACCAAGCCACAGGAATAAGGCTAAGCCAGTTAAGCCGGCTGGTGAATGAAAGCCAGACGGGATATGAAAGCTGTTCAGCATAAGAATGCCAAAAGCCAAAGGTGAACAGATGTGGGGGATGCTAACGCCACAGAGGTGCTGGGCAAGCTAGACTACCTGCCAGCAGAGGGAGAGATGAGCTGATCAGCCAAAGGGATTACGGCTGATGGAGAGGGAACGACTTAGACGATGAACAATGAGTCCAAAGATGTTAATAACTAAACTAAAGTACATGGTGGTAGATATGGGGTTTAAATACTAAGGCCCTGTTTGGGATCCCCAGCTAGCTACAGGTAGAGGCTGCAGGATACCATATAAGGTAAGTGCTTCAGCTATCAACACAGCCATCCCCCAGAAGGAAATCACGCATGTCTAGACCTCAAACCATCAAAATGCCAGCTCATCACCTCCCACCTCCCTCTGCCCACTTCCTGCCTTGTCAGCCCCATGTGCAGGGAAGGATGTGGTAGTAAACTATATATGTGGAAGTCCATTGTTTCAACTTGAGAATTTGTTAAGGCAAACCCGCCATTCAAAAACCTGCGATTTCTTGAGATACTTGAGCATGTTGTTGTCAACGATGGTCTGGAGGTCAAGGTGAATGGCATGCGAGTGTAGAGTTTGGACCCTCAGTCCGGGGCTCATGATGTGTGACATGTGTGACCACTAGCTGTACATGTAGCTACCTGGAGCTACCTGGGGATCCCAAACAGGGCCTAAAGCTGGATCTAAGTATTAATTGGGAAGTACAAGGAATATAGCAAATGGAGAACATAGCCTTGAAGCGAGTACAAAGGAACATACGAATGGGGAATATAACATGGGGGCATGTAGATGGATTGCTGGATTGCACGTGGAGATCCACGCGAAGGTGGATCAATGGGAAATGCTCAGAATACTCCATTGCGTAAAAACCCGTCTTCGGCCAAAGGCCAGACACTAGTCTGAAGACCAGCAGATCAGCCGGAGAGAGTCCGGCGTCCGGCAGAGTATAGTGATAAGCCAGTAAGCCAAGATCTGCTGGAGGAGGTACAGAATGTAACAGTTCTTCTGCTTAAACCATCTTTTGGAACACCTCTGCAGCTGAAACAGATGTGGACCACCCACCACTAAGCTTTCATACCTTGAATTCAAGCAGAATATAGCCTGCAGTTTATCATTTCTGTGGTACAGACAGACCAAAACATTGTTTGTCTCAGATACTTGCTGTGCTATTGCTTTCAGGCTACCGGGAAATTCATCCTTCATACACCCTGCTCCGGGTTCTGCTGATCAGAATGCAAAAATGAAACTATTTTCCTGGATTGATAGGGATTTGGATTCAGAATCTCTGTTCCAAGTTGGTCACTTTGGGTAATTTTGTGCTATTTTGAGTCAAAGGGGTAAACTTGCAATGAAGATCCTGAGCCATTTACAAATGACATAGTATCCACCATTTTATATATCTCTCGAATCCATAGACTCAAATTTTCAGAAAACCATTGTTTATTTTATTGCGAGAAGATGGTACAGAGTAGATATGGGTCAAATGGTGTCTAAACACTCAGAATCACTCATATTTCATTGCTGCATTTTATTTCAAGCAATTTTATGCCATCAAGGACAGAACAACTGTGTGCAGAGCTTTTTGTCACCACTGTATGTGAACAGGCTTGGATGTTGTGAAGACTGTCATCCAAAACAGATGTGGACCATCTACCATCCAGCCTTTCTTCTTTGCATTCAACTTGAATACACCATGTACAATGGAATGGAAAAAAAACTCCCTGCTTTTTCAGTGCATGGCTCAGTGTAAGGGTTCCCTTCTCCAATATACCTTGTACTACTGAAATTCGGTCACTTGTCTTACTATTTAATCTCTCGCTACGGTTTCGTCACATGTATTAGTCAGCATCCTGATTGATAATCTAACTACACTTACTCTCAACACTGATTCGTCTCTCTTTCACCTTGGCTTAGGACTCCCCTGAAGCTCAAGGAAGAAGGATAGGCGACCTTAAGGCAGTACCTTCGACTCTATTCTACGAATGACTGCACATCCTCGCCTCTAGCGCGGACATGTGGCGCCTTTGCCCTAACTCTTTACCTCGTCTTCCAGCGAATATCGCTAGAGATAGGACAATTGAAAGCCGGAGGAATATCCCTATCTACTCGATTTTCCGTGAGGTAGAGACCGCTGCGGGGTCTTTTCCACATACGCTGCGCTAGTGATCCGCTGGGATAACGACGCTCGCCCATTTACTTTAGCGAGGCCGACCAGGTCTCACACTCAGGCCTGGTTCAAATAGGGCTCGTCCATTTAATTAGCTCAGAATGGCAACAAATATGGATCATCCACTTCCCAGCCTATCATATGGCCATTTCAATACAGTATTGTACCACCTGATGGGACACAATGATCTGATGGGACAAACAGCTTTTCTGCGCTTCCAGAGCATGTATTGCGCTCGGATTTTTTCCTAGTATACTTATAGGGAAACATGCCTAGTATACTGTACTAAAAGGTTACATCTATCGAGCAAAGGGATGTCCTTCAGAATCACAATCATTGTCAAAAGTGACTAAAACCGAAACTGATTTGATACGAATTTTCCCTTCATACAATGCCAAATGGCAATGGAACTTGATATGGTAGAGAGGTAGACTATTAGCAGTCAGTATAGGTCGCTGTGCGTATGAATGAGACGAACCCTCACAATTGAGCAGTTGGACTGGACAAGTCCATTTTGAGGTTGTCACATCACACTTCCCAATTTGGCCCATCTCCCCGCACCAGAGCGCAAATTTTCCTTGCATCCACACCCGCATCCTCAGCATGCCTGGGCGCGCCAAATCAGACAGGGTCAAAGACAGAGCCCTTTCAGAACTCCGAGAGCAATACTACCAGCACTCCATCCACATCTGGAAGGGCAGCCAAGTGTCATCTCCACAGGAGCTGCTGGGCCTATGTGAAGCATGCAAGCAAGCAGTCAATGAATGCTTTATCAAAACCAAGAAGCATATCAAGCTCTCCAAGTCCACCCTGGGCCAGCGCATCAATGGTGGGTGGAGCACACATGAAGTCCACGAAGAGCAAAAGTGGCTTTCCGCTGCCGAGGAACACATTGTAATCGACTATGCCATCAAATGTGCGAATTGGGGCTTTCCCCTCCGCCACCAGAGGCTGAAGGAGCACATCGACAAAATTGCTAGAGCATGCCACAGGGATAAATTCCCTACAGATGGCATTGGCAAGCAGTGGATGTGGCGGTTTGTCTCGGACCACGACAAGCTCAGGATGTACTGGTCAGCCCCTCTGGACAAGTCCTGCGCACGTGCTATCACGAAGAAAGACTATTTCGATTTGCTGGAGCACGTGGAGGCGGATTGGGTGGCTGAAACCAAAGCTCATGGAGTACAAGGTCGAAAGGTTGCTTCCCAGGCCCAAAAAGGCGACGGAGACCGAGCAA